CCACCCTCTGGAACTTCATCCCACAGTCCTTTCGCCTTGCTCCTTCCCTTGCCTTCTTCAAAGCACAACTCAAGACCCTCCTTTTCGACCATGCCTTCAGCCGCCCTCCTACCTCTCTGCCCTCCCACACCCCAACCCTGCCCCCCCCACACTTGGGTCCTGGCCTCCAACTGTTCAGTGCCTTGGATGCCCTCCCGACGTTAAAGGTGCTTTACAAATGTAATTCTGTTACATTTGTAAATTTGTTACATTTGTTACATTTGTAATTTTGTTGTTGTTGGATTGTCCTTTCTTCAAGCGAGATGTTTATCACTTCATTGAGGCATGATAGAAAAATCCCTTCTTTAATCTGTATCGCTCTCTTTGATTGCTGAACCCAGGTGCAAGGATCAAAGCAAAGCATTGTTCCTGGATTAGGTCTTTGAGTGAGTTTGTGATCCTGATTAAACAAAAGGTAAATAAACAAATGCTTGAATGCCTTGTTAAGGTGAGGTATGAATCTCCAAGCTAAAGAGCCATCGTAGGTGTGAATTAATGAGCTGGTTTATCATTAGACCTCGGACTAGAAGCTATTCAAACTTGTCTTTGATTAACCTTTTCACACGAACTTCATATCTGTGACATCAAACAAATGGCTGTAACCTACTGTCTCCAGTAAGGAGGATGGGAAAGGTTGATTATTCTTTGCAGTCATATATACTTCATAATTGCAACAATACAAACAGCTTGAATAATAATAAATAACTATCTTTGCATTTGATGTAATGCTTTCACTTTGAGAGGTTGTCTCAAACAAGATTTTACTATAAAGTATAGTGAATGTATATTTGTTGGAGACTGGTAGAGCTAATTTGCACACAGCAGTGTCCCACAAATAACCATGAAGTGAATGACCAAATTTCTAATTGGGAGTTTGTTGGGCAGGACATCGGGACAAACTCCCTTCTTTTGTCGAGTTGTGTCACAAGAGCTTTTAACATTCAACCGAACCAGCAGACAGCACTTATGTTTCTCATCTGAAGGATGGCACCTCCGACAATGCAATGCACCCCCAGCACTGCATTTGACTATGTGAATTCAAAGTTCTGATGTGGGATTTAATATTCACAAACCCATCCTGCTGACCTAATTCCAGAAAGTATTAGGCACAGTTGGCAACAGCCAAGACTTAAGGATCCCACAGTGTGTGTTGGGGTACTGCTGGAATCTAACCAGCTAAAACTGCTTAGCTTGCCATTGATGTCACTGTCTGGGAAGCTTTCCCACTGCTTATCGAGCTACGACCGCTCCACCCATTAGGGCTTTGGCTTGCAGGGTTAACAGGAGCTAAGTTCAAGGATTCCCTGCCTCCAGTGACTCGTCTGCTCTTTCAAGTTCTGCCGATGAGCCAGGCTGGCTGTGCTGTCATCAGCAGTGCCCTGAAATACTGTAGACCTGCCTAGCTCAGGAAATGGATTACCGAGACCGCCACAGAGGGCTGGTTGATTCCAACATTCTGTTGGAGCCAGTTCAGCTCCAAAAAGACCCCACTTACTTACCCCCCCGAAGGAGGATAGACAGCCATGCTAGTCAAAGTCCCACAAACAGCCATAAATGAACGATCAATTTATCTGTAGGATTCTTGGCCAGGAACTGGGAGAAATTTCCTTCTCTTTTAGAACAGGCAGACATATCAAGTTGATTTCATGCTGAAGTTTAAAGAGGTAGGAGATATTCTAGATAGGGTAGGTTACTACAAAGGCCTGTGGCAGATATTGCAGTGAGTGCTGAATAAGCTTTTTCTTGTTGTTCACTTCTTGCAATCCTGTGACAGCCACAGATCCTGCTCATGATTCACAAACAAGATAAGCACTTGCGGGGAAGTTAGAATCGCCATTTAGTGTTCTGAGCAAGAACAAAGAAAAATAATCAAGAGCTGACAGGTTAACTGACAAACCAACCTCCGACACTTGGATTTATCAGGTTGGAAAGAGAGCACTGAGGCATGACAAGGTCTGCAGACTGGAGTGGAGCCAGGTGCACTGATACTCGATAAGCCCTCACAACAGAACTGCAGCTCAGGGCACTGATACAACAAATTATCCTGCCAGCAATAAACCCAGGAATACTGATCCGTGACTTTGCTTCTTGCCAGGAGAAGTGAAACATGACATTGTACAGAGCAGTGATACATGATCAGGCGTCTTGACCAGAATAGAGCCTAGAACATTCATACATAGCCAGCTTGTCCAGCCAGACATATGACTGGGCTTCCTATCAGGAGCAGAGCCAGAGCACTAATAAACGATAAGGCCTGTTGACAGGAATGCATTTGAAGTGGGAGCACTGGTGCGTGATTTGGCCTCCTGTCAGGAATGGATCCAGGAGTGTTGATACATGACGTACCTCTCGATAGAAATTGATTCAGCCAGAAGCACTGATACATGACGGGGGCTCGAGCCAGGATTGGATCCGAATGAGTCACGAGCACTGATCATTGATTTGGCCTCTGACAGAAGTGGAGCCAGGAACACTGATATATGATTTGTGCGCCTGCTGGAAGTGTAGCCAAGAGCATGAATACACAACCGGGTTCCTTGCCAGAAATGAGTTGAGTCAGGAGTACTAATACATGACTCTGCCTTCTGCCTGCAACTCACTGTGCTGCACGCCTCGGCCTCCTGCCAAGAAAGCAACGCAGAGCACAGAGACATGACAAAAAAGCTTGTCAGGGAGAGATTGAATGAAGACCATTGATACATGATAATGATTTTGCCAACAATAATGATCCCAACGGGAACACTGATGGATGCAGGTCTCCCAATAGGTGTCAATCCAGGAGACTGACGGATGTAAAGAATCTGCTGACACAAGCGGAATAAGTAATGCATGAGAAAGTCTCCTGGAGAGAACTGGACTGAACTATCGATGAGATCATGATGAAGAGCACTAAAGATGCAAAGGACGTACAGTAATTTCTATCAATTAGACGGCGTTTGCGTGTTTCTTTGAATCAATCTGAGTGCAGCAGTTTGCTTCTTCTGATAAATTTACCACTGCAGAACTTGCTGCTTTTTTCAGTTTTATCAAATTGGCAGCTAATAAAATTCAGTCAGTTGGCCTCCAATACAGGGAAACTTCTTAAATAGAACAAGGTCACTGCAAACTCTTAAGGGTCAAGCCTTGCCTGGTCATCATGATAACAGCATTGCTGTGGAACATTAACCTGTGTAGATTTTTAGGTGTGCCAGGTTAGCTCAGTTGATAGCCCTCTTGACTCTGAATCAGTTGTGGGTTCATGGTCCACATCAGGACTCTGAACTGATATAGCTAAGATGACACACTAATGCTGGGGGTGTGCTGCAGTGGTGGGCGGAGCACTACATTGTTGAGATGTTAAACTGAGGCCCTGTCTAAAGTTGATGTTAAAGATTCCATGATACTATTCGGACAGAGAAGGGAGTTTCTCTCAGTGGCCTGGCCAGCAATCCCCCAAATGGTCATTCATTCCATGGCTGTTTGTGGGTCATTACCATAGGCAAATGGGCTCCTGCATTCACCCACGATAAACACAGTCACACCAATGTGCAGGATATCCTGTAAAGTGGTTTCAGACGTCCTCTAGATAAGAAAGATGCTATACCAAATGTAAGTATTATCATTTTGGTACTAATTTGGTTGCTGATTTTTCATATATTAAATAGGTTTGAAAAACTAGTGCTGACATAACATTGGCACATCACTTATTTAGATTTATGTAACACTTTTGACGCTGAGCAGATGTCTTAAACCGCATTGTTCTGCTGACCGGGAGCCTGAGTTGGGGTGTTTGGTGTGGGGAGCAAACCATGAACCATAAATCCTTGTTCACCTTTTGATTCTATTTAATGATGATTTTCACATAATTTTCTCCAGACTTCTATATCATATAGTAATCCTTGCATTCAATATAGCGCTTGTTACATCCTTGAGATGCCTTGGGACTTACTGTAGAATGTAGTGACTGTATGTTTTGTACGCGAACAGCAGCAGCCAACAACAAGATTACATTTGTATAGTGCCTTTAACGTCGGGAAGAAGTCCCAGTTTGCAAAATAGCCCGCAAACAGCCATGAAATGGATGACTAGCTTTATTTGGGAGATTGTCAAGCAGAACACTGAGAGACTCTCTCCCCTCACTTTTCGAATAATGCCACGTGATCTTTAATGTCCCTCTGACCAGGTAGATGGGGCCTTGGTATAACATTTTATCTTAAGGCTGCCATCTACAACAATGCAGTTCTTTCCCAGCATTAGAAAGTCAGCCTTTGACTGTTGTCCTTGTTGTGGTCTCATTTCTCAGAACCTCATGATATCACTGAGCTGCCATAACGGTGAGGCTACACTGGAACAGAGTGTAAATTTTGATTTTTTTTCCCCCACCCATAGCATCTAGAATCAAGATACTTCACCTAACTGTTGTCCCTTCTGCCTAAACATCATACAGAAAAAAACTTGAGTCCCACAAGGCTTCAAAACCGCAATTTACTCCAAAACAAATGAGAAACCTTTGATCCAAGCCAGTTGTTCCACTTCAATATCTGTAAATGGATTTTAAAGCAAACTCAATGCCTCTATTATTTGTTGTGCTTTTGGTTAAACATAATTAAAACTTGGCTACTCACTGGCCAGCTTCCCAGTTAATTCATTTTGTGTTCTTTGCACTTGATGTAGGGACCTTTGCTTTGCCAAGGTAGTGCGGCGTTTGTAATTTCAGTCAGTTGCATGATGGGATCACCTTTTATTGGCCCTGCTTTCAATTTATTTTGATTGACGTGGCATTTATGTGTTGCTTGTTTGATATTTATTACATTTAATGACTCTCAAAATGCCATAAAACAAAGGGGAAGAATTTGAAATGGCTCCCAGATTAATAGATGGGTTGGCTACCGAACCCAATGAAGAAATAAATGGCAGTATAATGGATCTTGACATTAGGTTTGATGGAAGTGGTTACAGATATACATGTGGTTTTGTTTCAGATTTCACTCCGAACTGCTTCCTCCAATCAGAAGAGGTCGAAAGGTCAGGGAAAGGGTATGGTTTTACTTTTGTCTATTACACGATGATTGAATTCATTATGCAGTTTTGCTGGAGCCAGTTGTAATAACTCAATCGCATAAATCTACCCCCTTCACAGAGCCTTCAATTGAGATAGATAAAATGAGATGAAGTAGCATGAAGCATTTCACAATTGATGATGGTACTATATTGTATTGCACAAGACCTTATCCTGAGGCTTCAACGCTCCAAGACATATGCTGCGTGAAGGAGGCTGTATAAATGCAAGTTGTTGATGTTAACTCTAGTGGAGGGGGTGGGGGGACAAAGCAGAGAAAGGGTTCCCAACCATGAATCAGCCTGCTGCTCAATGTCAAGACACCCTCAAGGAGGCCCAGGCGCAGTGATCTCAGCAATGAATGGGTCGTGGAGTCCCAATTGCAGAGCCTGGGAGTCAAAGAACTACATCAAGAGTAAAGATACCTTGGAGAACTCCTCCCTAAAAGACAGCTGCCTCTGAGGACTCCTCCCTTAGTGACATGGTCTCGCAGGACTCCTCACATAGTGCTAAAGTGAGGGGAAATCAGAGACTCCAGACGCAGTCTCATCCCATAGCTCGAACAGTTGACTCATCCAACATTAATAGAATCCTGCCAACCTCCACAGACTGTATATATACCATATACCACAAAATATTCAGTTACTACACTTTACAATATATTCTGTGAAACGCTTTGAGACATCCCAAAGATGTGATAAGGGGCTATATCAAATGCAAGGATTATTATTATATTATTATACTGTAGAGGGATGAATTGTTTGTGGCAGGGTTTCTCCACTTTACAAAATGGGTCTGTTTTTTCCACAAGATTGGTTTGGATGAAGAAGAGCATTTGGCCCATCCGATCTCACCCTTCCAGAACACCCAACCTACCGTGCTCCCATCACTGCATCAAGCTGCTTTTTAAATGAGTCCAGTGTCTTGGCCTCCAGCACCTCTCACGGCAACCTGTTCCAGTTGGCAACCTGAGTAAAAGGAAAACTTCCTGGAATCCGTCCTGAAATTGCCATTTATAACTTTTCGCTAGAGTGAGCTTGGGTTAGGAGCAGTCAGCAGACTGAGGTCTTTAGCCAGAGTGGTGCAGTTATTTGTAATAAAAGTTTTAATGTCTCAGCAAAGTGATGGATGGTTACTACAACCATTCCTCCACCAAACCAATTCCTGCTGCAGTACCAATGCTTATTTCCTGTCGGTGCCTGTACGCAGTGACAAATATAAGTCCGGTTCAATACAATGTACCATTTGCAAAGAAGGATCTCAAATAATGAAAGCCTGGAAACAATTTCCTTCCAATTCATGGCATTTACTGTTTTCATTTCAGGTTTGAGTTTTATGTATCTTTAGCGGTTGCCAGTTAGTCCTGTGGGTATTGTTAAACCGTAGGGTGTAGGCTAACCCGAAACTCTGGTGCCACTCCAGTGTGACTGTATAATAATGATTGCTACATTTGATATCACTTTGTCAAAATATCGCAAAGCATTTAATGTAAAATGAGGTGACTGGAATTTGTAGGCAAAGGTAGTAATTAATATTTTGCAGCAATGTCTCACAATCAGCCATAACATGAATTATCTGGGGAATTGTTGGCAATGAAACCAGGAGAAACTATCTTCACTGTTTTCAAGTAGTATGGGAACTTTAATGTCAAGCCAGAATGGCCAGATGAGGATTTCGGTTTAAAGTCTCATCCGACCTTGATGATGACAATACACCTCTGACAATGCAGTGCTTCCCCAGCATTGTAATAGAGTGTCAGTGACTATATGAGCTCAAACTCCTGACAGGAGGCTTGAACCCGCAACCTTCTGGCTCAGAGGCAAGAATGCTAACAACTATCGAGCCAGGCTGACATCTGACAGGTCATTATAGTGACTTTTATAATGACTACTATAAAGACAACAATATACATTAGGGCAAAATTGCAGGATTTCTTAACAGGATTCCTTAATAATGCTGATAATGAATTGCATAAAGCCTAAGGATTTCTGGCAATCTGAAGAACATCACATCCACAGACACTCCATCTGGAGTTGAGTTTCCACTGGATGATGGAAAGTCTATTGGATTGTGCATTAAAGAATCCAGTTAAGAAATACTGAAAATAAACTGCATTGTTACATTGACAGAGGTGTAGTCATTAGTGAAGTAATGGGAGGGACATTTATAATCAGTCAGAGTGATGTTTCTTTCAAATCTATGTAAGGACGGAGCTGTGCTTATTTTTTAGAGTGACTTGTGTCCAGAAAAGTCTCACTTTTAAATCAATGACTGTTTATCACTTTTACTAAGTGACGATTGGCATATCTGCTATGGTTCATTGACGGGAAATAAATGCATTGGCAACTGATTGTTCTTGAGATTCTAGTTGATCAGAATAGTGCTTTTCCATTAAGTTTAAAGGTTTGTGTGGGTGATGCAACTTTAATTTTGGTAGTTTTGTGAGATTGCATTCAGTTATTTTTATTCTGTGAACACTTCAATATAAAGAAACATCTGCATTGTTTTGGAGAACGTCGATTATGATAAAGAAAAATTTAAATACATTTAACTGCAGCCTATATAATATATATATATAAATATAATTCACATCTCTCCCCAGAGGGACGCATCCTGCATACCTAATTCTGGAAAGTAATAGGCTGGCAAGAGCCAAGGTTTGGGGATCTCAGAGTCTGGGTTGGGGTACTGCTGGAGTCTAACCAGATAAATCTGCAAAGCTTGCCATTGAGAGCACTGTCTGGCAAGCTTTCCCCCTGCAACAGTGGTGCCCTGGTGTATTGGGGACCCGCCTGGCTCAGGAACTGGACGACCGAGACAGTCACAGTGGGTTGGTTCGATTCCAATATTCCACTATCAAATATGTCACCTTGGAGCCAATTCAGCTCCAAGGACACCCGGCTTATCATCCCCCCCTTACACCCCCATCCCCACCCCTGGAGGATATCCACTAGTTGGTCATTTGACAAGGGGAATGAGCAAGGAGAGGGAGAAGAGATCAGTTAGCTTACTTGGAGAAGAACAGCAGTGCAGGTTTAATGGGTCGAATGATGTGCACTTACATTGTGCTGTAACAATCTATGATACTATGGGACTTATTACTTCAATTTAAACAAGAAATTTCACAGATACAAAATCTATTTTACTCCAGCGCATGATAGAAAGACAAGCACATCCTGTATTAACTGTTTGATAAATAAGGAGCTGTAAAAGATATCAGAAACCCACATAGTTAGTCACTAGAAAAGTAAATTTCATTAAGAGGTTCTTCGTTTTGAGTAAGTTATTATGTTAGCAAGTTTCTTCAGTTTTCATCCAGTCTCCTGAATTTCACAAAGCTACTCTACAAGCAAAGGCAAATAAAACACGTAACCAATTGAATAATGGATATGAGTTGGTGTCTCATAATTGACATTGCTTCCCACCAAATATAATTGATGTTGCAGATACCCAATATTTCATAATCAATGCAAAAAAAAAGCCACACCATCAATCAGCAACAGCTCGGAGATATACCGTAGTTTAAACATTACCTTTCTTTCCATCTTAATAAATGATCCGATTAAACATGTGCAGAATTATCAAGTATACAAGTCTCGTAGGAGAGAATTGATCAACTCAAGTATAAAGCCTAATTTTTCACAGATGACAGTAGTCCTTTTTTTCCAAGGAGATGAATTGACATTGGAACAAAACCTTGCATTATTTAGCTTTCAGAATTACTGGCTTGCTTCATGTACCCCGCCTGATCTGCCCCACTATCAGCAGGTGAGGTTTCAGCCATTCTGACCTTGATCTTGGAACTCCAACCTGGAGTCTCTCTGCCTTGCCCCCCTCCTCCCCACCTTCAAAACCCATGTTGAGACTTTTCCTTTCAATCACACTTTCACCCACCTCCCCCTGCCCCACTTGGCCTCCCTCCCCCAGCTCTGGCTCTCAGACAACTGTGTGAAGCACATTCACACATCTAGGACAGCCGCATGTATTTTCGATCTTCGCTGGATCTATTTTGTTGACCAAAAGTGGGGTCCAGTCTAAACCAACAAATGTGCTGAAGAATTAATTGAAACACTATTGAATGCATTCTTCAGCAAATTTGAAGTTTTTAGAAATTTCACAGTGCATTTTTCAGCATGTTCATTGTTTTAGATCATATTCCAGTACATCACTAATAGGGTCTAGATTTATTCTCTATAGCATTTCAGACAGTCCAGAAGTTGTCAAATTCTTAATTACAGTCTTTAATTTTGATGACAGATTTCTGTAAGTTCTTGTAAGAACTACAGAAATAAGCTTCAAACTTTAACTAGAATGCAACAGTTTGCCAGATTCTGCAAACTCTGAAATGTTACATTAATTAAGCAAAGCGAGAGTCAGATGGAATTTCTGCCCAACTTTTGTCACCCAAGAAAAATATTGTCATTTACATTTATGACTATTGCGAATATGATTTCCAATTTAGTACAAATTTATCATTAGCCTTATGCAATGATGTGTGTCCCCCAATATTTTTTAATTATCAAAGAAAATATTTGGCTTTTGTGTTGGCAATCTGTAGGATTTATTAGACCAACAAATCTAGCCAATTTCATACTCCAGCAGTCAGCAACCATGACTAGTTGTGGCCATGGTTCAACATCAACCAATTTCGCTCTCACTTGCACTTAATGGATCCTTTCCAGTTTCAGAATTATTCTTTCAGAGCATGTAAACTATTGGCTCCTCAGTTTGCTGGGTGCAGAGCAGTTCATGTGCTGTCAAATGTTTCATTTAATACTTTATGTTTGAAAATCCTTATGGAAGTTTATTTGGGCTAGCAATCTGCTTTATTAAGAAGCTAATAAATAAATTAACATTACAATGAGCTTTACCCTTAATCAAGTCTTTGAGCAAAATATGAATGAAATGTACTGTATCAGTGTATTGTGCTGACTGTGTCGGTGTTAAGTNGGGGGTTGGATGCCAAGTGTAGTCCTGTTGTCTATGGAAGGATTACATGGTCTTGTTTGAGATACCTGGAATACCTGTTTTTCTGCCTGTTTCTGCCACTGGTGGTGTTGGTGGTGGGAGTTGCTGATATCACACATACACACATGTACAGAATCCTATAATGGCATCTAACAAATTGGAACTAAGAAAAAGGATAGTGTGTGCAGGGCAATGGATAAGGGGTGACCAGAATCCTTACATTTAACTGTATTTATGTAGTCAGACAAGCAAGATTATCTGATTTAGCCCCTTCTTCCAGTACTAAGCTACAAGCCCAGTTCATATTGGGCTTTGAGTACAGGGCATGTGCTGGATATCACCAGTTACAGAATGATATGCACTACACGACCAATAGATGCACTGATCTAAGCCTGCAAGGAAACAAACATTTTCGTAAGTGAAGAGTGAGTTGTTGAGAAGAGGAGTGCCTGATTTCAATCACCCCACCCTACCTCTGCGACCTCCTAACCCCCTACCAACCCGCCCGCTCCCTCCGCTCAGCCGGCTCCGGCCTGCTCCATTGGCGGGAGAACCTTCAGTCACTCTGCCCCCAACCTCTGGAATTCCATCTAATCACTCTGCCTCGTCCCCTCCTTAGCCTCCTTCAAGTCTCGCTCAAGACCCTCCTCTTCGACCATGCCATCGGCACCCCCCTTGCCCTCCCTTCTCCCCCCCTGACCCCAGCTCGGGTCTGAAATGCTGTACTCTGTCCAGTGCCTTGGGACGTCCTCCCGACGTGAAAGACGCTATACAAATGTAATCTTGTGGTTGTTGTTGTTACCAATTGAATCTGATTGTGCTGTTACCAAGATACACTCTGCTTAAACTGATCATATTTTCTTGGTTTCCTTGATATTTATGTGAAGAGGAAAAATCGATTTGGACTCATCAAAGTGACACATGTCACTGCTGGGGAATGGAATATTTTTTAACATTTTGGCATCAGTGTCAGTTCCAAGCAATTCCAGGGTTTCCAGAGGTTGGACAATAAAGTTTCTTCTGTGTTGCCAAAAAAATAATCCTTGTTTGATATAGCAAGAGGACCTCTCAAAGCCTTTCACAGGATTTACTCTGAAGTGTAGTGAATGTATTGTTTGTAGGCAAAACAGCAGTCAATTTGCACTCAACAATGTCACGTAAACAGCCAAGACGTAAATGACCAATTTTATCCTGGGGGATTGTTGGTCAGAACACTGGCAAATCTCCCTTCTCTTTTCAAAATGTGCATTGGGATGTTTAACACCTATCAGGACAAGTAGGTTGAATGTTGGATAGTACCTCCAACAATGCAGCACACCTCAGCAATTCATTGGAGTATCAGCCGAGACTAACTATATGATATTTAAGTCTTAACATGGAGCTTGAATTGAATACCTTCTAACTCAGCTCCCAGCTTAGCCAGACTGCTGAATCACCGCCACGCCCAAACTCTGAAGAGCACCAGTGTGATATTTCCATTTCTCTGAGCCAGATTGACACTTATAGTTCCAATTAGTGGTGAATAATAGTCAGGTTTTGGCAAGAGTTCATTACTCGAGGCTTTGCAAATTCACTTCGCTTGTAGCTAGGATATACTGAAGATTTTCATCACATTAGCCCCGACTGCCTTTAAATCCAAACATCCAGAAGCTTTACTTCTGTAAATACTAATTTGAAAGCACTGAATAAAAACTAAATTTTCTTGTCCAAAATAATTCTTATGATATCAGAAGCCCCATTGAATTAATTTTCAAATACAAATGAAACACTCCAATTCTTCCTGCCCTTGTCATTTATTTCGTTCTTAATTTGTCTTCTATTGTCAGTCTGGATTTGTTGGTAATGCTGTCAACTCAGGTGGTAGGATTCTCACCTCGTCAATCAGAAAGTTATGGATTCAAACTTCATTTCAGGTCTTTGAACTTACAGTCTAGGCTGACACTCCAATACGATGCCGGGGGTAGGGGAGGGATGTTACATTATCAAACAGATCAGATATTTACCAAGGTCCAATCGGCCTATGCAGGTGGATGTCAGTGATCTCATGACATTACTTGAAAAGAGTAGTGAGTTTTACCCGGTAACCTTGTCAAAATTGACCATTGACTTCAATCCATGTTTGTGGGACACCACTGTGCGTAATTGGCTGCCGCGTTTCTCCCACAAGATAAACAGTCAGTTCCCTTTACAGTATATTCTGTGAAGCGCTTTGAGATGTCACGATGACATGATAAGGCGCTATATCAAATGCGAGGACTATTATTATTTTATTATGATGGTATGTGAAACATTGCCGTGTGAAAACTGATTGCCTACAAATTCACAGTCACTATATTTTACGATATATCTTTTGAATGCTTTGAGACGTCCTCCCAACATGAAAGGTACTGAATCAAATGCAAGCTGGTTAACCTCAAACTGTACTCCAACATACACACTAGAATGCCCCAAGGCTTAGTTGGCAAATCGTGCCAATTTGCACTTAATATTCTTTGGAATTAGATAAGCAGGATGCATCCCTCCAAGGAGAGAGTGCACATTCCATTCCAATATGTGGGAATTTCCATGTGTAGGTGGGATGCATGGATCCAGTTTGGTTTTGATATTCTTAACTGAAGTAATGAATTTTCCCATGTGTCAGATACCCGACAGAAATGGTCTTTAAGATGAGATGTTGAGAAACTTTTGTGGTGGAACGTCAAATCACCCCCACCCATTTTAAAATGAAGTATGGATAGGGAACTTGATGCTTCAATAGGTTAGCACATGATCATTCCCTCTTGTACCAGGGTTCAAATCAAAGATATGTTAAGGCGCTATATGAAATGCAAGGATTATTATTGTTAGAGGTAGGGGAGTGCATCACAGAGTGAGCAATACTCTATAATGTGGTCAAGAATATCAGAAATACTGTGCTGCCAAATCATTAATTTATCATGCTGTATGACTGAGGCTGCTCTGTGAGAGAGGACAATGACCAAAGCAAAATCAATAGTTAACAACTCACATCTGCTTTCTCTAGCACTGAAACGCTAGGTAAATGAAAAATGTACACACAGTAAATAAGAATCACACCATTCAGGGCTTCTAGAATAAACAGAAATCACTCAAACATTGAGTTTAAGATTATTAAATATATTCTCATTTCTAATCACTTTTATTTTGTGAAACACAATGAAAGATTTATTTTACATGAAAACGTGCTTATATAAGCATGTCAGCTTGGCTTAATTTGTAGCTTCTGAGTTAGAAGGTTGTGGGTTAAAATCCTAGGACTTTGAACTCAATCTAGACTGACACTCCACTGTAATGCTGGGGGAATACTGCATTGCTGGAGGTGGCATCCTTCGGATGAGATGGTAAACCAAGGTTCTGTCTGCCTGTTGTGGTGGACATTAAAGATTCCATGGCACTGTTCAAAAAGAGAAGGAAGTTTCTCCTGGTGATATGGTTAACAATCTTCCAGATAAAATTGGTCATTCACTTCATGATTGCTTCTGGGACATTGCTATGCACAAATTGCCTGCCGCAAATTGCCTATAATATCTGGAGGCACTACACTTTACAATAAATCCTGTGAAGCGTTTTGAGATATCCTCCCGATGTGAAAGCCAATGAATGAAATGTAAGGATTAGCATTATTATTAAGTGCAGATTATTATTATAATTATTTTCTGCATCTCACTTTCAGTCTGAAGATGACAGCACTCACTCTCCAGGAGATGGACTGATGATTGTAGGACCTTCACAAGCATTGAAAGGTCACTCTGAGGAACTGGGAGCAAAGGCAGCCAGGGAAGAAAACACAATTTTTCGTGCAAAACCTGTCAAAATCAAATGCGACAAACCTGCAGAAAGTCCGCTGTCTGGATATGGTGAGTTCATGTCCTCTCTCTCTCCCTCCCTTCCTTTCTCTCTCTGCAATGAAACACCTTTAAAAACAAAATTCAGCATATTTTGTTTCTAGGGTATTGTGTCCTCTGACATGAAACCTCTATTTCCAAACACAATGTCATCCATTGCTCTGGGCAGAGATTAACATTTTTTTAAAAAAAACTTCTATTTGGTCTTACTCTTCACGGTATTTTAAAATTATATTGTAAATAATTGCATCATAAACTGTAATTCTACAATTACTCTAGAATTGTTGCCAGACGTTGATTTATAACTATCGAATCTCCTGAACTATTTCACTGTTTAAAATAATTTGGGCTCTATCAAGTGGCGATTTCTAATTTGATACCTTAATAGGAAACCTGACTAGCGACTCCTTCCATTCAGCAACAACAAAATTACATTTATATAGCGCCTTTCAAGTCGGGAGGACATCTCAATTTAGCAGAATTAGATCACATCTACACTCAGAATCTCGTCTCTGAAAACAAATTCCATTACATGAAGTTCTGTGAGTTGATGTGCTATACTTTCAGATTCCTTCATTAAGAACTGTCATTTAAGATCACTGTATTTTCGATCTCAGTACCCACTTTGGTGTTCCAATGTCTCTAACATTGGTGTTAACCTGGCTCAGTTGGTAACATTCTCATCTCTGAGTCAGAAGGTTCTGAGTTTAATCCCGATGTTGGGATTTTGAACTTACATTCCAGTGCAGTGCTGGACGTGCACTACATTGCTATAGGTGCTGTCCTTTAGATGAAAGATCCTGTCGCCTGTTGAAGATCCTATGGCCATATTTGACAAGAGAAGGGAGTTTCTCCTGTTGTCCTGGCCATCAATGCCCCAGTAAAACTGAACATGCATTTCATGGCTGTTTGTAGGCACAGTCATTACTTATTACACAGTAAATTCTGTGTAATGAGACATTCTCCTGATGTGAAAGGCACTATAACAAATATTGCATTACACAATTATATTTTTATATCTTATAGTAATATTTATAGTAATGACGTTTTATAGTAATTACATCGTTATTTTATAGTAATATCCGTTGATGAGAAAATTAAGACTACTGTATGCAAAAGTGATATGTTTATATCTGTAACACTAGCACAGATTGAATACTGTGTTGCATTTGTTTCAGAGGAGAATGGCGTGTTTAAAGCTCAGGACTCCCGAAAAGAAACAGAAGATGCAGTGGAGGTACGGGAGGATGCAGACACAGGAGTGGATTTGCCTATTGATCAGGTTAGGTTACTCAGTGCTTGAATCTAATTTGCGAGTTTTGTAAACCAAGAGTAAACATATGTGAACAGGGAGAATTACAGGTGATTTTAAATATGTATTATCAACCAGTGAAAAGGATTACAACAACAACCTGCACTTATATAGCGCCCTTCACGCAGGGTAATGTCTTAGAGTGTTCTGCCTGTAATAATTAGACACCTCTGTACACAGCTGTTTCCACATTGTTTGCAAAACTCACAGATTAGACTCTCAAGTCATTTTTCGTATTGATCAACTTTATATGCTGACTTTATACAATACCGAGCATTACTTGGTCTGTTGGGATGAACATCACATGAATTTTTTAACAGCACTGAATGTTACAATTGGGAAAAAATCACAGTTATGTCTGGCTATTCTGATTTGTATTGACATGTCCTGATAAAACTGTAATATTCCATATTCAACAACAACAACAACAAAAACAGCTTGGATTTATATAGCGCCCTCCACGCTGGATGACGTCTCAGAGTGCTTTACAGTTTAGGATCCCGGGACCGATTCAGGGGGAGGGGTGGGAAGGTGACCAAAGGCGGGGTCGAAAAGAAAGGTCATTTCATAGTCACGTCCACCCATTCTACGTGGAAACACACTATGATTTTGTAAATTGGAAGTGTACTGCCTTGGTGGATGTGCTGGCCTTTTGATGAGATGTTAAACCAAGGTCCTGTTTGCATGCTCAAATGGGTGTTTAAGGTCCCACACCACTATTTACAAATAGAGGGACATTTCTCCCGGTGTCCTAGTCAAAAATCTCCCTGATAAAATGGATCATTCACTACTTTGGCTGTTTGTGGGATGTTACTGTATGCACATCCCAATTGGCTGTTGTGTTTGTCCACAAAAATACAGTCGCTTTACTTTACACTGATTCTTGTGAAGCCGCTTTGAAATGTCCTCCCGATGTGAAAGACGCTGTATCAAATACAAGGATTATTTATTATAGCATCTTCACTTATTGTTCACTTACTGAACCAACTATCTTGTGAGGAAATACTGCTGGTATACTAGGTAGAATGTGAAATGCAGAAATAAAAATTTTATTTAGAGTGTTTATTTACAATTATTTTGAATTGTACCTGGTTTGCATTTTTTTTGGTAGGCCGGGTGTCTGACATAGGAGGAAACCCATCACCATTAAGAATATCCAAACCAAACTGAGCAACTAAACCATGCCGCCCGCCTACACATGGAAATCCTAGAGATAGATTGTTGGAATGGAATGCCCACTCATTGCTGGAAACTAATATTTACTTGTTTTAGGGTTGGATAAAATGTACCTCAGTTTGTGGCATTTATACTGCGTGTAATATAATTTCTTCTGTGCTGTTTCTCTTCTTCTTGTCACTGCTTTTGTTCAATTTGATGAAGCTGTCTGCAGTGACTGTGATGGTAAATGACTTTCTGCACTCTATCATCTGACCATGCATTGACTGTGATGGATGCGAAACATATAGCACGGCCTAAGAATTAATCGACATTGAAACCAGTGTGCAAATTTAATTGAATTTTTCTGAGCTCCAGATTGAAGAGGTAGCTCTCAGAACCCATGCAGTTCTCAAGTGAGAGTAACACTTTGCCTTACAAAACAACATTAATTGTAAGTGCCAATGTTTTAAAAAGCCAGCGTATCTCTCAAAGTAATTATTTTATAATGTCATATTTTATTAATCTGTAAGGGTTTTTCCTACTTTATTGTATCATAGTTAAGCCATTTCAAGCTGGTGATATAAGCAAGGGCTCTTCAGCCTTGAAAGAAGATGCAGAAGAGTTATTATAGAGGTCGTTAGCTTCTACACTGCAAACAAGTTCACCCACCCAGAGGTTCACATTGTGTGATCGGCCAACTTTGAGCAACCATTATTATTGTAGAGGTTGACGATATTACGTAGGATTAAGAAAGTGAACCCAAAGCTAAACTTTCAAATACACCAGACAGCAGGACAAGAGGATCTGGGGTCATGTTTACGAAGAGCAATTACTGGACTGGAAAAAAATCTTTACAAAGAGTAAACGCGGTGGACGGGTATTTGAGGAGGATGGGTTTGCAGGGTTATGGGGAAAGGGCTAGGGAGTGGGATTGACATTACATTGCTCTATTCAAAGAGCCGGCACAAACTCGATGAGCCGAATGGCCTCTTTTTGTGCTGTACGATTCTATGATTCTATGATTCTATGATTCTAATTGACAACTGGAATAGGAGTTTGAAGACAGACCACAGCACTCATTTAAACAAGATCTGTAAAGGGAAAATATTAGGTTTGGTATTCTGAAAAGATAAAATGTAACAGACAAAGGGTCTTGTTTGTTTGAACCAGTCTTGTGATTTTGTGAATTGTCTAATTGTCCCAGACGTAGAAGGTCTTCATCCTGAGTCCTATTAACCTGAGCTGTGGTCAACAACAACAACAAAATTGCATTTGTATAGCGCCTTTCACATCCGGAGGATGTCCCAAGGCACTGGACAGACTGAGCTGGGGGTCAGAGTGGGGGAGGGTAGAGGGCAGGGGGGAAAGCAGGGGGTTCAAGCATGGTCGAAGAGGAGGGTCTTAGGGTGGGTTTTGAAGATAGCAAGGGAGAGGGAGGGACTGTGGGATGGAGTTCCAGAGGGTGGGTGCAGAGTGGCGGAAGGCCCGCCTGCCAATAGTGGGACGAGCAAGGCGGGGGACGTTAAGCAGGCCAGAGCCCGCTGAGCGGAGGGAGTGAACAAGATGGTAGGGGTTAGAGATTGGAGAGGTAGGGGGGAGCAAGACTGTGGAGGGCTTTGAAGGTGAGGACCAGGATCTTGAACTGTATTCTCTGTGTGATGGGAAGCCAGTGGAGTTGGGCAAGGATGGGGGTGATAGGGTCGCGGAGCCTGGTGCGGGAGAGGACATGGGCTGCAGAATTCTGAATGATCTTCAGCCTGTGGAGGGAGGAGTTGAGGAGGCCGACAAGCAATGAGTTTGCATAATCAAGCCTCGATGTAATGAAAGCATGTATGAGGGTTTCGGCGGCCTGCGGTGTGAGACAGTGGCGGAGCCGGGCGACGTTGTGGAAGTGGGGGGAAGGCAGAGCGGGTCATGGTGCAGATGTGGGGTAGAAAGGATAGTTGAGGGTCAAACAAGTTCGCAAGGTTCTGGACTGGCTTAGCAAGGTGGAGCATGCAACCATGGATGGTGAATCTGTCAGTGCCTGAGGTGAGGAGGCGCTGACAGGAGACAATCAGGAGGGCCTCGGTCTTGTTGACGTTCAACTGAAGAAAGTTAGCTCTCATCCAGGACTTGATGTCTGACAGACATTCTGTCAGCACAGCAGTGGTTCTGGAGTCAAGGGTGGAGGCAAAGAGGTACAGTTGGGGGTCATCCACATACATGTGGAAGTTGACCCCATGTCTGTGGATGATGTCACCAAGAGGGAGCATATAGATATTGAAGAGGAGGGGACCAAGGACAGAGCCCTGAGAAATGCTGCACAAGACGGTACTTGGGCTAGAGGAGAAGCCGTTTGAGGAGATGAAGTTCAGGCTGTGTGAGAAGTCAAGGACAGCATCGTGGAGGTTGAGGTGAGAGGAGAGGCGGTGGGTGAGGATAGAGTGGTCGACTCTGTCGAAAGCAGCAGAGAGGTCAAGGAGGACGAGGAGGCAGAAGGAGTCCTGGTCACAGATGGACAGAATGTCATTTGTCACTTTGACCAGGGCTGTTTCTGTGCTGTGGGCCGATTGGAGGGGTTTGAGAAGGGAGTGGCCTAAAGATAGTACCTTAGTGTTGTGGTCATTCCACAAATAAATGTCCCTGGAAGCTCAAATAATTTACACATTTGATACCCAACCAAAAGGTTGTCACTACAGGTGCCAGTATTTGTTACACAATCTGATTGTTGCTGTACTTGAATGCTATAAAGGATCTCAATATTGTGCATTCCAGGTTAATAATACCATGCTTTGTTTGTTAATTTGTTTGTTAATAATACAATGCTTTTTTTGTTTTCTCCAGGTCCCGGCTGAAATTGTTCATGAGGAAGAAATACTGGCTAATGATAATACGGTGTCTACAGCTCACCATAAAAATGGTCTAGACCAGGGAGACGAAGGTTACTGGAATAGCAGCGAGCAGTACAGTGAGCCTAATGGTTGGGCAGGAGATGAGGACGGAGTGGTTGAAAGCGTAAAAGAATGCAACAAAAACAACAAGGAAAACACGTCCAATAGCCTACATGATCACGATAGAACACTAGGAAAATCAAACACAGAAACTCCAGCAAAAGGTGAACTCCATAGACAGCAGGAGGATCGAATGAAGGAAGGTTCTCAAACAGCTAATGAAGAGTGCACTTCAGATGTGCCGTCAGGGACGAAGAGTTCAGTGCCTGGTCAGAAAGAACCAGCAGGACGTAAATCTGACACACAGCACGGACATGTAGAGATGCAGCACCATGTCGAGGAAGCTTTGGAGTTAGAAAAGGTGAACATTCTGCATTTTACATCTTGTTATGCAACTGTTCACTGCATTAGAGGAAATAATAGAAGTTTACTACCATTGCTATATATTTTGGTGCAAAATAACACAGAAAAATGTAAAGATGTCAGCTTGGCTCAGTTGGTAGGACTCTTGCCTCTGAATCAGAAGGTTATGAGTTCAAGCCCCACTTCTGGAGTTTGAGTTTATAGTCTGACTTAATACTGGGGGAGCACTAAGGTACTATCTTTAGGGTGAAATATTAAACTGAGGTCCGGCTGTTCAGGTGGCTGTTCAGATGGATGTTATAGATCCAATGGCACTTTCAAAATGAAAAGGGAGTTTCTTACGGTGTCCTGCCCAATTCCCCAGATAAAATTGGTCATTTACATCATGGCTCTTTGTGGGGCAATTCAGTGCTCACATTGGCTGTATTTTTCAATAAATCATGTGAGGTGTTTTGAGATGCTTTGATGGTAAGCAAAGATGCTACGTTAAATGGAAGGATTATCAGTAGGAATGTACAATAGAATAGTGAAGTATAATACAATGTATTCTGTGTGCACGCCACATTATTACACAGAACATGGCTACGATTATCAAAGAACTCTTGGCTCACTGATTTTAACTATTAGGGAAAACAAATAATTTGTAGGTGTTTTTTAAAGACCTTGGGAAATAAATCAGGGAAAATGAACAGCTTCTGCTATGGTAATCATTTCAAAATAAGGCCATTTTTTTGATTTGCATTCTGGTCAGGTTTAACGAAACTAAAAAATGTGTTTTGGAAGTTTCAGCTCCAAGAGGCACTCGTTTAATTCTCACTGCCTTGCGGATAAGCTATCTTCTCCGGAGGTAATTGGTGCATCCGATGCTGTGATACACGATATAATTCGCAAGCTAAACGTGTTACTCTGTTTGATGGTAGGAAATTGCATTGACGTTTCAATGAAGACGCGATGCTTCTGATTATTAGGCCTCTGTTGGCTGTGGAAACAACCATTTTAATTAGTTTTGAGCCAGTCAGAGAACTATTTTTTTACACAAAGAAAGATTAAGAAAGTATTCAAAACTTGCATTTTTAAGCTAAAAAGGGTACAGAATGAATAAAACATGATATATTGGAGACTGACTTCATATATATATGTATAAAAATATATATTGGCTGGTTTCAGCAGTTATCCCAATGCACACTCTGGCATAGGCGGTGGAAGCGTTTTACAATGGGGTGGGAGGGTGAAACCGGGGGAGAGCAATGATTAACATGGGGTCGACCAATTGGGAAGTGCAAGGCTTCCCATGGTAGCCAATAATAGGGAAACCTATGGGTGGGACTGCCTCTGACATGATTGACAGCTTTGGGAGTGAGAAAAACAATCAACGCCTCTGATAAAATGTATGTGTTATGGTTTGTTTAATGGTGAAATTCTCCAAATTCAGAGTTGTGGGGCGGGGGAACATACTTCCAACCTCTCTACCTCTGACACTCCGTTACAGACACAGGGAAATTTCCAAGTGTAGGTGGCATACACAGGTGGATGGTGGTGGCTTCCTTCATGTATTAGGTACCCGACTGATCAAATAAACCCCCATGATCTAATACATTGGTGGAGCAGGCTTGAACAAACTGAAAGGCTTCTTTTGTTCCTATGTTCCTAATACTGTATAACCATAGTATTTTTGCTGTATTCTCACTCGGGAACTTTTGCGTGAAATTAAATGGCCCATGAAAATGACATCAAGTAATTTAGATCTTTATTATAATAGACTAGCCAAATGCAATTCATTGTTATTGCTCAAAAATATAGGTCCGCAAGCCAATATTTGGACAATTGCCACAACTACAAAAAATACGGTTAAAATAGATGTTTCGACAGTATAGTATATGTCTAATAAACATCACTGTTCTAGTAAGGATTAGACAGGTACCCCCAGTTGGTGTTACCGTCACCTCGAGTTGCCATTTATTCCCCCCACCCCCCCACCCGATTTTATGAGCATAACATGAACAGAGATAACAATGAAATGAGAACATTTCAAATACAGACAATGTAAGACTCAGAACTTTAATCATTAACTGTGAGCAATCAAGGCAGGAGCGTATGAACTGCAGCCTATCTGTTGAATCAGTCTGAGGCACTCTAGGGGGATAAGAATACTGTGGTGAACAGGGGGGAGGAGAGAAACTGCAGGAAAATTGCTAAGAGGGAGTGAAAGGGCCAAAATGGATAAATTACTGTCCTACTATTGGGTGAGAGGAGGAGCCAGGTTATTTTTTTAACCAGGTTTAACAACAGAATCAAGGGAATTTTTCCAATTGCAGGGACAAAAGAAAAAGGTTTAACTTTAATTCATAGAATCATGGAATCATACAACAACAACAACAATTTGCATTTATATAGTGCCCTTCATGCTGGATGGTGTCTCGGAGTGCTTAAGATCATAGAATGTTACAACACAGAAGGAGGCCATTTGGCCCATCATGCCTATGCTGGCTCTTTGAAAGAGCTACCAACTAGTCCCACTCCCCTGCTCTTACCCCATAATCCTGAAGAAATTTCCTTTTTAAGTACCTGTCCAATTGCCTTTTGAAAGCTGCTATCGAATCTGCTTCCACCACCCTTTCAGGCAGTGCATTCCAGACTGTAATAACTCTCTGGGAAAAAAAATCTCCTCTCCCGCCTGGTTCTTTTGCCAATTATCTTAAATCTGTGTCCTCTGATTACCATCCCACTTACCAGAGGAATCAATTTGTCCCGATGTACTCTATCAAAACCCCTCATAATTTTGAGCACCTCTATTAATTCCCAACCTGTCTAGTTTCTCCACATAACTGAAGTACCTTATCTCTGGTATCATTCTGGGAAATCTCTTTTGCACCCTCTCCAAGGCCCTGACATCCTTCCTAATATGTGGTGTCTAGAATTGCACACAATACTCCAGCTGATATCTAACCAGAAATTTGTAAAGGTTCCTTATAACTTCCTTGCTTTTGTATTCAATGAACTCTATTTATAAAGCAGAGGATTCCCATATTTTTTTTTAACAGGCTTGTTAACTTGTCCTGCCACCTTCAAAGATCTGTGTATGTGCATCCCCAGGTCTCTCTGTTCTTGCATCCCTTTAAAATTGTACAATTTATCTTACATTGCCTCTCCCCATTTTTTCTCCTAAAATGCATTACTTCATGCTTCTCTGCATTAAATTCCATCTGCCATGTGTCTACCCATTTCACCAACATTTCTATGTCCTCCTTCAGTCCGCTACTATCTTTCTCACTGTTTACTATGTTTCCAAGTTTTGTGTCATCTGCAAACTTTAAAATTTGCTCTCTCTACCCAAGTCCAGGTCAGTAAAATATATATTAAAAAGAGCAGTGGTCCTATTAATAATAACTATAATCCTTGCATTTGATATAACTCCTTATCACATCTTCGAGACGTCTCAAAGCACTTCACAAAATATATTGTAAAGTAAATTGACTATATGTTGTGGCAGCCAATTACACACAGCAGTGTCCCACAAACAGTCATGGATTGAGTGACTAAATTATTATTATTATTATGGTTAAGGGATTATTTCTCCCCGTAAAAGTGACCCACCAATCGACTAACAGCCAGGTTCCTACTTATTGCTTGGTAAACAGAGTCATGTGGAGTAAGGAAACTTGCTCAACATATTGGAATCAAATCCAGGTCCTCTCGCTTCCCTAAGTGCTCTAACCACTAAGCTACAGGACTCCATGACATAATTCTGAGCCCTGGAGGACACCACCGTATACCTCCCTCCAGTCTGAAAAACAACCATGTAATTGCACCAAGAATTAACTTCTAGCCTTTAGTTTGCATCTCTTATTTTAATTTTTGCTGTTTTTCTTTTGTTTAACGTTTTCTTATGAGAACTTCCTTAACTTTAGTTTTTGATTGTATAAGTGGCCCCATTGAGTTAATAAGTTGATAGAAAAAGCCTTTTCAGATTGGATTCAGCATCCTGTTACAACTCTAAAGTCTTGTGCGCAGTGCTTTATGCCAAGTACCTCTAATTCTGGTTTGATAATAAAGCATTAAATTTAACTTGACTGGAGTAGGGATCAGTGACAGTAACCTAGAGCTCTGACTCAGTACCAAACCTTGCAGTAAATCTTTAGCCAATGAATAACTGAATAACCTGGTTGTTTGTAACATTTCCCTTGCAGTTGCTCTGCTTCACTTTATTTATTGTTGATCAGATAATCAGGNTTTTTTTGTCAATGTGATTAAGTTGATCATGTATTTAATATTTTTTACAAGTATGCTTTAATGTTTGAGATCTTAAACTTCTGTCATTCTTTACCAAATAGTCTTTTGTCCCCTACTCGGCACTGGTATTGAATTATAGGGAATATGAGTGATTGAACTTTGAGATGCTTTAAGCTCACAAAAAGGTTTACCTGATCAATTAACATAAATAATAATAAACTTTGCACTTTATATAGCACCTTATCACTTCTTCGTGATGTCTCAAAGAACTTCACAGAATATACTGTAAATGACTGTATATTTTGCGGGTGAAAATACTGAACAATGCCAAATTAAGGCAAATAGATTGTACCTTTTCATCCATTTATTGCAAAAATGGCACTGAATAGAGACAAAACACTTTACAAATTGAGGAAAAGTGACTGAAAGAGCGGTTAGAGAAGTATGTTTTGAGACACACACTCTGTGCTCTATGATAACATTTAAAACAGTGATTGGTATAAGGTCCTGTGGATTCATGTTAAGAACCTTAAATGCATCCAATTGTGTCCTTGTTGATTCAGTCCACCTTCAAAAATCTCTGTTACAGTAAGCTTAGATACGCACTCCACCATGGGTTCTCCATTTTCTCAGTTAAACAGTAAACTGGACGATCTCCATTGATATCTGCTAAATAAGAATCCCTTGTGACATGTCTGCTTCCTGGTTAGATTTTCTCCTATTTTCACCTCTTAATTCTCCATTTCTCCTGAAGATAGTGATTTTCTTTGGTCAGCCGGGTGTCTGACATATGTGGAAACCCATCACTTAAGAGTATCCAAACCTAGCTGAGAATTCCATGCATCCCAGCTACACATGGAAATTCCAGAGATAGATTGTTGGAATTAATTGAATGCAATAATAAATTGATATCTTGGAGGTTTGTGCCCCTTTCATATGTTTGGAGGTAATTTCAGAGATTATTCTTCAAGTGATCTGGGACTCTACCCTGGTTGAGGGGCGCTACATAAAGGCAAGTGTTGTTGTTTCTGTTGTTGTTGAAATGTCAGCTATAGTTACTCTCCTCACAGATGACTGAATAGATTAGGAAGAAACTATCACAGTGTAAGTTTTAGATACTTCAGGAGTGTTTCAATGGAGCAATGGGATGCCTCAGAGGGATCTTTATGGAGGTGTATTAGATTTTAAATGGGATTGACAAAGTAATCTCTGACTAGTATTTATGCATATACAGATACAACAGAACAATTTGTTTGGTCAGCCAGGTGTCTGACACATACAGAAACCCTTCACCATAACTAAGAGCATCCAACCCAAACTGAGAATTCCATGCACCGACCTACATATGGAAAGTCCAGAGATAGATTGTTGGAATGGAAAGCACTTTCTCTTCTTGGAGTTACGCTTCCTGCTTACCTAATTCCGGAAAGTGTTAATAATAATTATAAGACTCCTTGCATTTGATATAGTGCCTTATCACGTCTTCAAGAACATCTCAACGCCCTTCACAGCATATATTGTAAAGGGAATTGACTGTATACTTTGTGGGTGCAGGTTGGCAAAAAACAAGTCTTGGGGCCCCCAGATTTTGAGTTGGAGTACTACTGGAGTCTAACCAGCTATTAAGAGTATTGCCTGGCAAACTTTCTCGCTGCTTGTCCAGCTCGTACCACCCTACCCGTTAAGGGCTGGGTTGACAGGAGCTAAGTGGAATGATTCCCTGCCCTCAGTGATTGGACTGCCCTTCCAAATTCTGCTGATGAGGCTCTTCTGTAATGCCAACCAGCGTGGGTCAGCAACCAAAGGTAGTGACTCATGCTGAAGTACAGTTCCACAGGCACAGATAGAGCTCGGATACCTTGTCCTAGTGGCCATTCTTCATCTGTGAGCATGGACAGTGATCTTTGACTTACACTAATCATTAAATTACTGATCGTTTTTCCTTCTATACTGTAACAGACAATCCCATTATAAAGACTTGGCAATAAATAGCTACTTTTAGCATTTGGAGTCCATTAAAGTGCCGGCTATTTGCCCATCATAACCTCACGCACTGGGAGAAATTCCACCTGGGTCTAGATTTATTCTATTTATGCTGCATTTTAGGTGTCAGCCTGGCTCAGTCGATAGCACTCTCTCCTCTGAGTCAGATGGTTGTATGTTCAAGCCCCACATCGGTACTTTGAAATTACAGTCTAGACTGACCTCCAACACAGTGTTTGGCTGAGCATTGACATTGTTGGAGGTGCCATCCTCAGATTCAACAATCGTCCAAATAAAATTGATCATTCACTTCATGACTGATTGTGGAGCATTGATGTGTACAACTTGGGTGTCACATTTGCCAATAAATACAGTCACTACGCTTCACAATAAAATCCTCTGAAGCACTTTGAAAAGTCTTGACAATGTGATGAAGCGATATATTAAGTATAAGAATAATTATTGTTTTACAATGTCCAGAATTTGATCATTTGATTTGATTGACTTTAGAATAGTTTTTCTCAGTGTTCACACTTTCCACTTCATACTTTCAGCATCTTGGGATGTTCTCCCGATGTGAAAGGCGCTGCTACGAATGACATTTGTTGATGTTGTTGTTTCCAGCAGGAGTCACTGGACAGTGATCCAGAAGAAAAACCTTGTCTGATTTTTTTTCTATTTCTAGACCTGGTCTAATGAATATACAAATATAGTAAAATTGATCATCATCAGTGCTGAAATCAGAAAACTAAACAAAGATTAAACCCTGTGATATGTCAGCTTCCTACTGTTGGTGCCAGTGCAATGGGCTATTGTTGGACTGATCATGAGCTGTCTGGAGTCATTGCTTTTTCACCTCAGCCACTGCTGCATGCGAAATAAGTACTTCACAGTACTTGCCTTGAGTGTTGTGCTCTCTATCAAGTTCCCCTCTTTGGAAGTAATAGCATACAATGTTCTCTACCTTGCCTCCTGTAACTGCATGCCACAGATATGTAGGTTAAGGCTTGAGTTATAATTCATGTACAATATTTTATAATTGGATTGTTAATTGAAAACTGGGTCCATTGCAGTACCGCTGCCCACTTTATATTCTGTAATTAGCACCAATTCACCACGGAGACATAAGAGATTCATCATCCATAATGATTTAGCCTCTTGTACATGATTCCTTTCCTTTACATGCAGTGACTGTATCCTTGTTTTATTTTCCAAAGAACAGATTTGAAAATTTACTAAAAAAAACAGAAAAATAATTTTTAGCTCAGAATATTTTATTTTCAATCAAGTCCTTGGTCGCATCAAAAAGAAACATTTTCTAGTGGAAGAAAAATAGTTGCAAATTGAACAAGGGTCGTAACTTTCAGGGGAATCTCTGAAGAGGGACTCTGTCTCTCTGCTTTAATCTTTATTGGCAGAAAGAATGCTCTTTTTCAGTCGCCAGCTTTAGTTGTACTATAGGTTAAGGAAATTAGAGAGAACTGGTTGAAAGATGGTGGTTTACATTCCAGGCTCCAAGGGGACAGGAGAAATTCAGAAAACGATTTGGATTTCATTTCAGGAGATCAGCAAAATCCAAGGGTAGGTTTTACAGGTGTACAGAGTTGGTAAGATTCAGTCATTTATACAAAAATACAAGACAGCGGCTTATTTAGAATTCTGACGTGATAAGGCACTATATCAATCACAAGGATTATTAGGATTATTATTATTCTGTGCAGATTCCACAAATTAGAAATCATATCCTGTAGTTATAAAAACACACAGAACTGCTAACATTCTGCAATTACTACAGGTTGTGAATTTTCACTTGACCCAAGGTGAAGTGCTCTGAGATGCCGCCTGGTGTGGAGGGTACTATATAAATAAAAAGTTGTTATTATTTACTCTAGTAATGTTGCATTTATTACGTCCCAGCCAACAGTCCAACAGATAAAATTGGTCACTCACTTCACAGCTGTTGTTTGAACGCTGCTGCTGTTCACTTACGAATCCACAGTCACTTCAATTCACACTAAAAACTTGTGAAGTGCTTTGAGACATCTCAATGATGTGCTGAGGCACTCTATCAATTGCAAAGATTATTATATATATTTTAGAAAGTCCAGAAATTGACAAAATCAACTTTGAATCCGTTTTTCTGTAGTTCTTATTTTAAAGAATCATTGAAATTACAGCACTGGAGGAGGCCATTTGCTAATGCTGGTTCTTCCATTGAAACCACATACTCCAATCCAAAATTCCTGCTGTTTCCTTGTGCCCTTTAATATTGTTTTCCTTCAAACACTTATCTAATTCTCATTGAAATGTTGTCAATGTCTTAACCATCATAATAATAATCCTTGCATTTGATATAGCGCTTTATCACGTCTTCAAGACGTCTCAAAGCGCATCTCGGAATATACTGTAAAGTGAATCAACTGTATATTTCATGGACGAAACCTCTTAGGTTCAATACCACTTGTGGTAAAGCATTCCATGTTCGAATGCATGAAAAAATTCCTTTTCACCAATCCTTTAATCCAATGACGAATCCTTGTTACTGAATTATATTTTTGTATTTAGGAATTGGATCTGGGGCCACATTTTTATCCACCTATTATAGTATAGTATTAATGGAAATTATCACAATATTTTTGTTCAAATAAGAGCTTTGGTACTTATGTCTCCCTCTAAGAAGAGATGAATTCTCGCAGTTGTGAAATAAATGTGCTAATTCTCTTGTTTTGCATGCATGTCTACTCAAGTGATGCTTTGTGCTCTACCCCTTTTGCAGAGGGTTCTAAAGATAACAAGTGAAGGCATTAGTCCCAGTTGCAGATCCTAAAAGACGCGTGTGGTAAGTCTCGATGGTTCTCAGCCTAAATTTACACTTTCCATTTTTGTAATTAAAAATTCAGAAGCAAATTAAGGTCTGGTAATTGTAGAAGCCCCTCAGGTTTCTGCAGAAGAGCTGGTTATTGTGAGAACTAAGCTAGAGGGGAATGAACTACTCTTTGATGATATGGATCATGTCTTTACAGAATAATACAAAATAATGGATCTGTAAAGCTTACACCTTGTCAGAAACATGCAGACAGAGGATAAACATCGGAGACTCATCAAGACCAATCTATCGCTCTCTAGTTGTTAAAAATAACAATTATATCACTGGGACAATTTAGCAGTCCATTCGAGAGTGAACACATCAAATGAACCCAATGTACACTTTGCAGCCCACCCTATCCCCACTGCATAATACCTATAAATGCTCATTATCCACAAAACTCACTCTAGAATCTAGTATTACACATGTTTCACTGAATATCTGCAGCTCGTTCATCTCTTGCAAGTTTTTTTCTCCCTGATTTTGGAGTGAAAGTTCAAATGTGTGATTTTTTTTACTCATCTCAAGGTGTGGGTGACTCTGACAAGCATGTTTTGTTTTGCCCATCCCTGGCTGCCCTTGAGAAGGTGGTGTTGGGACCTTCTCTTTAAACCAATCCGTCCTGGCTCACCTAACTGAGCCAGTACAGAACTTTGATGCCTTATTCAATGCTCAACTGTCCTTTAAACACCTCACATCCCTGTCCATGACCAGTTCATTCCATGCTATAATTTGTCACCTGAAATGTTACAAACTTAGTTTTTCATAAATGCTAGTTGCTTTGTCTGCTTCTAGGAGTTTAATAAATCCAAGGGCCTTTGAACAAAAAGTAGAATAACTTTTCGAAGAGATATCTTTAAGCGATCAAGCGATCCATGGACACTTCAACAAACACCACCCGTAATTCCTCCAGGTGTGGTGGTGTGGAAGCATAGATGCAACTTTCAAATACTGCATTTAATAAAATGCTTGTTTTGAATGTATTCATTTAATTTTTTTGAACAATTTATATACTAACAATGCACCTCGTTTAATATATTTGCTAGTAATGTTTCATTATTGTATAACAGACAAGGATATAATTTTCACTATATATATGAATGGTGATTAGTTAATTTTTGTAATTTTCTGACAAATTATTCCTGTTTTTTGCCTTATCAGCAGGCTAACTATATGATATAATTGCATTCTCAAGAAAATGACTGTCTCGGGAGATGTATTAAATTGATGATTACATTAAGGAGAATAAAGTAATAACATTGAAATATTTAATCAGTTTAACATCCTTCTTTGTCGCAGTTTAATGAACTTCATAAATAACGAGAACGTTTTTATCATGTATCTCTGTCTCTGTGGCAGAACCGATCTAAATTATAACGCGATGTTGTCTGCGAGTCACACCCAATCACAGTTCAGTTAAATGTCTTTAGATTCTTTAATAAACTCTTGTTTTGCAATAAATATCCATTATCCTTTAAAATGTCCTTTCAAAGCAAAGCAATACATGATGCTTGTTCGGGGCTTCCTGAGACATTTAGCTGTTAACCTACGAGAAGTTTTATTTCCGGGCACTCAACGTTTGGGCGTTGTTGTAACAGCAAAAAATTGTCCAGAGTAAAACCCAACAACTGTTTATTGCAGTTCCTATGTCTGGAGAACCTGCTTCCCATATGACTTACATAACAATAATAACTTGCATTTATACATGGCTGCCAACTAGTCCGTTGAAGACAGGTTAGGTGAATCATAGTAGGTTATGGATACATGCCCTTTATTGGCTTTATATCAACGTTTGGTAAGCTAAATCATCTGATGGGCGGTCAAGCTGAAAAGTCCGCAGTACCTTGGAACATGCAAATTTTTGCAACTTCATAAAATCTGGGGTGAAAATTGAAATGAGTAACACTTGCATTGAAGTTTGTGACCTATCAATACTAATTGATGGGTTCCCCATATGTACTGGAATCAGATCATCCCACCCCTTGCCTCTAACCCCCTACTCAATGATTGTGTTGCAAAGGCAGCAATGACTTCCAGCTCACAGATTGCAGCCCTGGGCTGCTTCGTGGTGGGATAAAAGCTTAACTAAACAAAACTAAACTGTATAAAACCATTGAGTGCATTTATCATTGATAGTAATAGTTGAATTATTGCACGTCAAAAATTTTACTCTCATAATTTCTAAAGTTTTTTAATGAATTGTATGTAGTGCTGGTGTCTTCCAATTTGAAAGGAATTTAATCCTCTCTCAACACTGGTTTGCACACTTCCTAAATTGTGCTCACGTGCCTGATAATAAACCCTCAAGAGAAACAACGATAATAAATTGGTCACTTCAATCCACAACTATTTGTGGGACACTGCTGTGCGCAATGTGGCTGCTGCATTTTACCCACAAATATACAATCAATTCATTTTACAGTATATTCTATGAAGCGCTTTAAGATGTCTAGAAGACGTGAAAAGCGCTATATCAAATGCAATGATTATTATTATTATTACCTGGAACATCAGTCTTAAAACCATTGTTTCCTTTATTGATTTATCTGAAATATCTCTAATAATAATCCTTGCGTTTGATATAGTGCCTTATCACATCTTTGAGATGTCAAAAAGCGCTTCACAGAATATACTGTAAAGTGAATTGGCTGTATATTTTTTGGGCGAAATGCAGCAGCAAAACATGCACAGCAGTGTCCCACAAACAGTCGTGGATTGTGTAACACATTTTTGTTTTAAGAAATTATTACTCCCGAAAAAGCCATCTGCCAATCAACTAACAACCTGGTTGCTACTTGCTGCTAGGTTAACAGAGGCGTGTGGTTGGGAAACTTGCCCAAAGTTTTGCCCTGCTGGGAATCAAACCCAGGTCTCTCACTTGTGAGACGAGTGCTCTAACCACTAAGCTACAGGACTCATCTATCAGAAACCCTAAAGAGCTAAATCAGAAATTAAATGCACGTCTGCCTTTACTTTTGAAAATTTTTCTTCATTCCAAAACTCATGTACTTGTCATTTAATGTTAGTTACAACCAGTAACTAAGAAGTGGTTATTCAGGCTCTGGTGATCATTTAGAGGTTAAATAATTCTCTAGTGGACCTAAAGGCTCAAGAATAATAACCCTGAGGCACAACTTTAGCAGAGCAAACTTTGGAGCTACAAGGAGAACTCTAGGGAGGATTAAATGAGAAGTTGTTCTGGAAAATAGAATAACTGAAGAATTTTTTTTGTGTAAGAACATTGTAAGAAAACATGGGGTGGTGCAAAATGTGACACTTATAACAGACTTGATGTGATCTGTCAAGTAATAGTGGACTTTTAGTATCAGTTTCAGGTCTGAACACCCTTGGACTTTGACAGATTGGTTTCATTCAAGGTCTCTTACTGAAATTGTACAGCCACTCATCATGGATCTCGTTGAATGATAGCAGGACACAGATATTTTTTATCGTTCACGGAGGAAGCATTTTGAGCATTGCTCCACAGGATATTGTCAGAGTTTAGTCTGTATCCCAATTTAAGGTGCACAAAAAAGTTATTCCCTGGAAAATGCAGCAGCCAATTGCACACAGCAGTGTCCCACAAACAGTGGTGGATTGAGTGATCCAATTTTTTTTGAAGAAATTGTTACCCTCGGAAAAGCCATCTGCTGATTGACAAAATAACCAGGTTCCTATTTACTGCTAAGTAAACAGATGTGTGTGTTTGGGAGTAAGGAAACTTGCCCAATGTTTTGCCCTGCCCGGGAATCAAACCTAGTTCTCTCGCTTGTGAGACGAGTGTTCTAACCACTGAGCTACAGGACTCCACAGACGTGTATGCAACAGCCAGGAATGGTGGAAGGCGAACCTTGATGCCCTTTGGTCCAGGGATGCTGTGATTTGAGTTACGTTATTGTTTTGATATGTTGTATTGGGAGGACCGACATCTTCAGGTTCAACCATTATGTTGACCTTGAGATGTGTTCCGAGCTGCAAAAAAATTTCAGGGACCATTTTAAAACTGGAAAACAGTGGAAAATCCTCATTAAATCTTGGATACAAGCTCAAAGTATCTTAAGTAGTACTGTGAAGGAAAATGCTGTATCGAGGGAGAACTATAATTAGTTGGACTGCCAACACCTCATCATATTAAATAATGTAAATTAAGTGAAACATTGGGGTGCTCATTAAGTTAAGAGAATGGTTATTCTTGTCCTGTATAAACAAACTGCCAAAGGGCATCATGAAAAAACATTATTGCGTGTTCCCAGTTTATCTCCCATGTTCCATGTGATCATTAAAACATTCACAGGAAGGAAGGGATTATTTTTTCCCCTAAGTAACTAATTCCTTCCTTGTTTGAAGAAAGCAAGTTCCATAGAATTACATAGAACGTTACAGCAAGGAAACAGGCCATTCAGACAAACTAGTCTGTGACAGTGTTTATACTCTAAACGATCCTCTACCTTTCTTAAGTATCCTTACTTCTTACAAGTGCTCTGGGACGCTACCTCGCAGAAAGGGCGCTATATAAGTGCAAGTTGTTGTTGTTACTCCACATGCCTTTGTTTATCTAGCAGTAAGTAGGAGCCCAATTGTTATTTGATTGGTGGATTGTTTTTCCGGGGTTAATAATGTAGTGGAGTCCTGTAGCTCAGTGGTTAGAGCACTCGCTTTGCAAGCGAGAGACCTGAGTTCGATTCCCAGCAGGGTGAAACCTTGGGCAAGTTTCCTTACTCCACACGCCTGATGATAATCCCTCAAGAAAAAAAATAATAAAATTGGTCATTTCAATCCACGACTGTTTGTGAGACACTGCTGTGCCCATTTGGTTGCCGCGTTTTGCCCACAAAATATACATTCAATTCACTTTACAGTTTATTCTGTGAAACGCTTTGAGATGTCATGAAGACGTGATAAGGTGCTATATCAAATGCAAGGATCACTTATTATTAATATTATTATCTCCTCTCCTATACCCCTCTATTCCCTTCTCCGTTATTAATACGTCAACTTTAATCTTTAATACATGGATGTGTTTTTGCTTCAATCACAGCTCCCGGCAGTAAGTTGCACATTCTCAGCACCTATATAAAGAAGTTCTTTGTATAATTGGTTTTAGAACTGCTAGTGGCTATCTTATATTTATGCGTCTCGTTTGGACTCACCAACAAGTGGAAACAGCCTATTAACTTCCACTTTATCAAATCCTTTCAATAATTTGAAACACCTATAAGAGGTCCCCTCTCAATCGTCTCATTTTCAGAGAGACAAGCTCTCATTTATCATTTTGTGTTAGATGGACTACAGTTGTTGGAAAACAAATAATACAGATCAAGGCAAAATCATCAGAACAGCTATAAAGTATTGGCCAATATGCTTGGTATTTGAATGGGGTTTAAAGCTCATAAAGCATAGCTAGCGGTACGTTCTGTGCTTTGGAATATAGCCAAGGAGCACACATGACTGGTCTCATTTCAGTGGGCATTTGTGATAGATGGTGTGGAATTTCACAATCTGACAAAATCAATCAAGAGACATCTCAGATGTCAAAAGGCATCAAAATATCTCCTTTATGGGAGAAAACCAAACACGTGTCAGTTTGTCGATGTCTACCTCAATTAGGATTTGCATTGTTTAGGAAAGATACGGTTTATTTCTGTGGTTTTATGTTAGCGACTGCTTTATGGCTACTTTCAAGATCCTTAAGAGAAATTAATAATCCTTGCCTTTGCTATGTACCAATAAAATCAAGAGTGCCTCAAAGTTCTTCACAGGGAACTGTTGTGAAAAGTGTAGTGACCTTGCATTTATAGGTGAACAAATTAGTTCAAACAGTGGAATCCTCTTTAAGCAGAAGAGAGGTAACCACAATATTCTACACTGTTCCTTGATCAACTTTAGGAATCAAGGATTATAACAGTAATAATAATCCTTTAATTTGATATAGCACTATCACAGTGTTGAGACGTCGCAAAGCGTTTCACAGAATATATTTTAAAGTGTATATTTTGTGGGTGAAATGCGACAGCCAATTGCACATACAAACAGTCATGGATTGAGTGACCTAATTATTATAATTTTTTTAAAGGGATTATTACCCTTGGAAGGCAATCTGCCAATCGACTAGCAACCAGGTTCCTACTTACTGTTGAGTAAACAGAGGCTGTGGAGTAAGGAAACTTTTCGCCCAACGTTTCGCCCTGCTGGCCACTGCTCTAATCAATACACTACAGGACTCCACACTGGGCCAGGACACTGGGAAGAATTCCATTTTTTTAATAATACCA